AATTAATAGCATTGAAGACAGAAGTAATCGAGCCTGGAGGGTGTACCTTCAAAGGTCGGTGCAGTGACGACACAGATTGTAAAAGTCGATGTGAATCACCATCAGGGTCGTCTCTTGGTTTATGTCAGCCTAGTCCTCATTCATAGTGGCGGAAATTCTTCTTGTTGTTTGTATGAATACTTTCAATAATCTAAGATAATTATAAATTCGGTAAGATATTCTTATGGTCATTATGAAATTTTTAAAGAAAAAATCAGAGTACTTTTTTATTTCTATAAATTAGAAGCATCACAAATTCTCTAATACCATCCAAAATTATATCTTTTTACTATTAAACGAGGAATGCAATTAGTGAAAAATGTAGTTGTTTTAATTTTATTGGTTTACAGATTAAAAAATTTGACATGGAAAATATAAATGAAAACATGTATTTGAGAAAAAAAATAACATAGCATCAATCTCTTCGTTGTGGACATTTTGTTTTAAGTCTTTTCCTTTAGAGAGAGTATCACAAGTTCCAATTTCCATTTTATACAAACATGTTTTTAAAGTCTCCGAAACAGTTTCATTCTTCTTTTTTTTTTGTCACAAACACACTTCGCTCTTAAAACTAATTAACCAAATACATTAGTATCCGAAACCAGTGAGGGACCGTAGTGCTAATATGTGAAAACAGTAAATTCCTTTGTCGGGCCAGCATGTCAGCCATAACATTATTTTCCCTTGGACAGTAACGTATGGTTCGAAACAATTTCTATTATCAAACATTTGACAAACCATTTTTCTGTGTATGATCTTTCGATGCAAAACGGTAAACTACAACTCCGATTCGAGAACCTTCTTGAGGATAATCACAATGTATAACATCGACATCGAAAATCTTCTTAGCTTTCTTGAAAAAATTCGATTCTTTCTTCCATCTTTTGAGATGAGCCATAAGAAACACTCTCTTCGATCCTTCAAAGAGCATTAAACGCAGCGTTTTGAGCAGAGGATCATAAAGATGCTCGTCGTAGACCACGTCAGAGGCTAGTATCAAGTCAACGTTACCCAAAACCTCCACGTCATTAACTTCTCCCCAACGGAGAGGAGCCACGTGGATTTTCCCACCGGATCTAGTCACCACTTCACCGTTCGCGTCGGCGTTGAATCTGAGATTCTCGACGACGTTGGGGAGATCTGTCACCGTGACGTTACCACCAAGCGTCGCAGCCGCCGTGATTCCGACGATACCAGTTCCAGACCCGAGCTCGACGATGTTAACCGGTGATGAGAAACTCGAGAGTGTGCGAGTGAGTGGGCTGTTTTCTGGGTCACGACGGTAGTTATCGAGAAGCGTTACGAGTGTTGTTGCAGGAAGCCAGAGCTTGAAGGAGATGCCTTGCGACGGTAACTGACGGATCACGACCGTTGAATCGATCGAGTGGATGCGGTACATCTGAATCTCCGATTCCCATACACCGGAGGTATAATCGTCACCGTCGACTTCGTTTTCTCCGATTAGAAACATATTAGTGTTGTCGATTTCGCCGTCTTCTTCACCAGTCACCATTGATTTGACGAATCCTCGCGACGGCGCCGCTTCTTCTTCTCTCGCAGTTTTCAGTTTTCCAATTTCGATTATAATTAGGGCAATTCGTAATCAGAAAACACGTGGAGGATTCTTATTGGTTGGGTCTAAATTTCAAAAGCCTCTAATATAGAGAGAAGGTTACATTTTGAGTATTGTGAGATCAGAGTTTATGAGAGTTTCATCAGCGAAGACGAAGAAATTGAGAGAGAGAGAGGTGAAGATGATAAAGGCAGTGATGATGATGAACACACAAGGCAAACCACGACTAGCTAAATTCTACGATTTTATGGTTCCGATGCTTATTACGATTCAATTTTGGTTTTTTCTTCGATCCGTTTGTTTCTGTATCCGATTCTCAACTTGGGATTTTGATTTCAGACTGTAGAGAAGCAACAAGAGCTAATCCGTGGTGTATTTTCAGGTTCTCTTGATCCCCTACTCATGAACAATTTCATAAACTATATTTCTAAGAGATCTCGATCAATCGTGTAATAAACTCTGGAACTTGCGATGGATTTTGTTTTTTAAGTTTCTGGGGATAACTGGAATGTGGTTCTTGCAGTATTGTGCAGTAGACCTGAGAACGTTAGCAGTTTTCTGGAGATAGATTCGTTGTTTGGTCCGGTAATGGCTATTCTTCTTCATTTATGGTGCTATCTAATTTCAGTTGGTGTGTATTTACTGTGTTTGAGAATTTTGGTTTTGCAGGACTCTCGGCTTGTATACAAGCACTATGCTACTCTCTATTTCGTTCTTGTATTTGATGGTTCAGAAAATGAGCTTGCTATGCTTGATCTCATTCAAGGTGCGTTTGTTTGAATTCAATATCAATTTTTCTTGTTAGATTTTTTCGATGTATATTCTGGAACGGCTTGATGTTAAAACCCTTTTCCATCTCAGTCTTTCTTTAAGGAACCCTAGTCATTCTTAACATTCAATTTGTGTGCTTTGGAATGAGACGAATCTATAGTTGCTCTTGACCATCTTGTTTTGAACATCTTGACCATTGTCTTCTTCCATTTTGGCTCTTGGAAATCATATTGTAAACCAAAATTTGCAATTTCAACATCTTCAGTGTGGAGCTTCCGATTTAATGTGTTACTGTTAGGTCTCAGAGATTATACATGAAGAGGGAACTGGAATTTGCAATCAGCTTTGAGGAACTAAAATATAGAAATAGCGACCATAGGAACCAGAGTCTTGAGTAGTATAATGCCATGTATCAAGTACAAATAAATATTAATAGTGCGTAGCTCAGTTGGTATTATAGGACGTATAGCTCAGTTGGTATGAAAGGATGCAGTTAACAGAGAGATCTAGGTGTGAGTATTTTGGGGGTATTGGGTTGGTTGAGAATTGAGACAATCTTTAATCAAATCTCAGTGGTGTAGTTCTTTCTTTTTAGTGAATACAGAGAATATTCTAACTTGAGTCCTATAATAGGGACTCTTACCTTGTCAAGGACTGATGTTAAATATGAACCGTTGCTATTCTTCTGCTCATTGGTGTTTTCTTCCCAAAGCTGTGAAAATTGTATCTTCCTCAATATAGTATGATGATATCAGTTGGATTCTTGCATTGGCAGTGCTTGTTGAAACACTGGACAAATGCTTCAGCAATGTCTGTGAACTCGACATTGTGTTTAATTACAGCAAGGTAATGGTATTACACATAATAGTTCGTCCTAACATGTACTTGATACTATATTCAAAAGCTGGTGCTGCATTTGGATAACTACATGAAACAAAAGCGTGCCGTAGTATTGCTTTATTTATGTCATCTTCTTTCTTCCATTCGCATGTTGCAGATGCACGCAGTGTTAGATGAGATTGTATTTGGAGGACAGGTACTGGAAACTAGTTCCGCGGAAGTCATGAAGGCTGTTGAAGAAATATCAAAGTAGT